GTGCGGCGGGCTATCACACCCCCCCCTCAGGCGCCTGAAAGGCCGCCCGATAAATTAAAAAAAAAAAAAAAAAAAAAGCTTTGAGGAGCAGTGAGCAACGTCACAAAGGGGGGAAAAAAAAGCTCTCCATATCATATATACTGTATATATTTATTTATACATATATTAATTTATAAAAATAAGACCATTATTAAGTCTATTGAGTCAGAAATGTGTCGATCCTTAGTTAACGGAGAGAAATGTTTCCGCAGCCCAGTCAGCCGGTTGGGTCAGTCCGTCTGTACAGTGCACCGGTGCTGGTCCGGGACCGGGCCGAAGCCGAGAGAACTAAGGGTCACGCTAAGGCATATCTGTAACCTCTGATTGGTTCTAAAGCAAACGCCGCTCGGTGAGGAACAAGGTCAGGATGAGGCCAGCCTGCCCGCCGCCTTCATTTTGTCCTTGAGTTTGTCCGCCGGGTGCTCCCAGCGGTCGTCCAGAAACTCCAGTGTTGAGCCCAGCAGAGCGGCCAGCTCCGCGCTGTCCTCCACCAGGTCCAGCAGGTCCTTGCTGTCCGGGTGGAAGCCCTCCAGCTCCTCCGGGCAGGAGAAGAGCTGCGACAGGGACGCCTGCCGGTAGAACTCGGCCTCGGCCACCGTCACGACCTCCATGTGGGGGAAGGCTTGCCGGAAGGCGCGGGCGGACATGCGCAGGCGCCGGAGCACGTCGGACAGCAGCAGCCAGTTTCTTGGTCTGTAAAAAAGGGGGGGGAGGGAAGAAGTTGAGGAATGAGGGCGGGCGGAGGCTATAAAAAATAAGTAGCAATGTCTGCTCCGGAGATCAAAGCTCACCCCTGGGAGAGGGACACCTGGATGTTGTAGCACGGCAACAGAGGTCGGTCGGAGAACTCAAACTCGAACACCTCCCTTTTCTCGTCCTCGTCCTCGTTGTCTGGGCCGGGGGCGTCTGCCAGGATGTTGTAAACGCCGCCTTCTTCGCCGGATTCTGACACGCAAACAACAACATGAGTTGGCATCGATGTCGTAAAGAAATGACCTTGATTAGAAGAGGTTTGCTGACGGAGCAAACGGTGCATTCCTACTGCAAGAACCTTTTCCAGCTCCCACGGTAGTTTCTGGTGATGTTTCTGTTTCTAAATTAAGCACCAAAGAGAATACCAGATTATATTTTTGACTACACTGAACTACAAGTTGAGGGTTGTTTTTTTTCCAGCAATCTTCCATCTTTTTGTTGAGACTTACGTAGTTTCAGTTAACTTTAAAAAAAAAATGCTATGGGAGTGATTGCTATTTTTTCTTTTGTTTGCAAGTGATACTTAAACCCAGAAACTAATTTTAAACACGAGTTTATGTTAAGATCAGCCAGAAAATATAAATTCAATAAGTTCAATGAGACGACAAGGAGAGTAAACATGAAAGCTACATGTGGTTAATCGCATTTTACTTCTGTTTCACAGTGTAATTGCTGCTTCTGAATAGATTAATCTTTCGATGAGTTTTAAAGTTACTGCGCATAAGTTGTAGAGTGTATTCACTTTAAAAAATAAGTCAGTTTTAGAGCTGAAAATTGTAGATTTTTTTATTTCCAAAAACAGAAGCTTCTTTCTTTTGTCTCGTACTCTGTAGTCGAGATCGGGCCGGTTTTAGTTTGAAGTGACTTTACTCAGGTTTTAAACCATAACTGCTGCACATCTGAGATGAAGGCTGGTCTAGTTTCACAGTTTTGGAACAAATCTGAAGCAGCAACATCCCTGCAGACAGAGTGGAAACACACTCAACCCGAGGCCAAGGGGAGATAAAAGGTTCCTCACGGTAGAACTGCACCGTTTTTAAAGCATTACAGGACAGACAGAGTGCTGATCAGTACTCACCACACACAGCACTGCCATAGAACTCCCAATAAAGCCCTGGGTCGTCATCTGAGCGGCCCTGAAGGTCAGCAAAATAATCTGTGGAGAGAGGAGAAGCCTGTTATTCAAGAGCCGGGCGCCTGGGGACAGGCAACGAGGCAAATACAATTGCCCTTGGAGACTACAGCAGACAAATGGATAAAGAGCACAGTAAAACAGAGGGGGAGAGGGAGCGTCAAGAGAGAGAAAGAAAGAGAGAGAGAGTGAAAAGAAAAACAAACAGAGAAATGTTTTGAGGTGGTGATGGTCAGAGGCCGGGGGCTGTACGGCGGGGGAGGAGAGCGACCGTCTCTGCTGGGTTAGAGCCGGCTCAGTTCAGAGCGGGGCCACAGACGGCTGCCAGGAATCAAACAAGAACCACACACAGTCGCTCAGAACGAGAGCGCACACACACAGCAGAGAAAGAGAGAGAGAGAGAGAGAGAGAGAAACAAGCAGAGGGAGCTGGATAAGCAACGCGGTGTGTATTCAGCACGCGCGCGCACATTTGCAGAGCGAGAGCCGGGCTCCGTGCCAGCGCTGAGGCGTGGGGCGTCTGGCGTGTGTTTGGAGGGATTAACGGCCTCCAGATGAGTGGGACCAGGTGGAGGGAGGGCGGCGCGCAGCTCGCTCCTTCTCCTCCAGCTCTCACGACATCGATCCGTCCCGTCGCCTCAAAACTCAACGCCGACCGCCACCTGTCCGTTTTCTCCCTCGCGCGACGGGTCGTAACTAGTTCGGCGCTCAGGCGGAGAGAGAGGCAGCTGAGCATGATTTCATTTCCCTCTCGTCCCGCACACAGAGCCGTGTTGACTCAACTTAACTATAAACATCCAGACGAGCCCTCGCAACACACACACACACACACGCACGCGCACACACACACACACCACACACACAAACTCCAAACACAGAGCGTGTCAGACTCCGGCGAGGCTGCCGTGCGAAACGACAGGCGCTCTCCAGCCAGAGCGAAGCCTTTTTTTTTTCCCCCTCCGCACGTACGCCGAGCAAACACAGTGGCCGTTGCTAGGTAACCAGATAGAGGAGCCGAGAGGCGGCAGCAGCACGCACCCCGGCGAGCCGAGAATCCCTGTCTAACAGGTGGCCGAGGGAGGGGAGAGGAGTGCGGAGCGGAGGAGGCGGGCGCCTGAGGGGAGATGAGATGACAGAGATGGACGTGTGGAGCTGCTGCTGCTCCGAGGTGGAAGAGGAGGATTTACAGAGAGGGAGTCCTGCCAGCAGGTTGAGCAGAGGTCAGAGCAGTGAAAGAACAGCAAACAGAGAGAGCAGGCATGGGGGGGGCCACTGGGAACAGGGTTGGTGACCAAGCTTTTAAACCGTTTACCCCCGGCCCTAACCTTGATCGCCACTCTTCTGAGCTTCTTCTCTCAGCAGCTGAAATTCACTATTATTCTCATTTAAATGAAATTAAAGGCGTTTGGTATCTGACCCCAGTATGTTCTGAGCAGAGAAAACGAAAAGTCCGGAAACATTTTTATTTTGGTTAAGTTTCCACTTTCTGAAAAAGTTATGTTTTTGTGCCGATTACGTGCAACTCTCTCTCTCTCTCTCTCTCTCTCTCTCTCTCTCTCTCTCTCTGGGTTTGTTGCCACTTGTTCCGCTCAATACCATGAAGTCAGTTTAGAAAAATGTCCACATACACGTTGTGCGCTCCCCTTTTCTCGGAGCCTTAATAACCTTACACTGGAGTTTTGTTTGAAAATGTAAACAACACTCACCGGAGAGGAAACGCTCCATGCTGTCGCTGCGGGTCATTTTCAGCAGGCTGCGGCCAGAATACGTGGCCAGAGTGGGGTCGGCTCCGTACGACAGCAGGACCCGCACCACGTCCAGGTGGTCGTTCTCCACAGCATCGTGGATGGGTCTAAACACGCGCACAATGATGCACAGACGGAGGTTACAGGGGGTTAGAGGGGGCTTGGTGAGAAATCACAGCATGTGTCATTAATATTTATGCTCCTTTAATCTGCCTTGCCCCATAACATGCACCTTATTTATTCCAGTTTAAAACTATTTAATATGAAAATTACAGTTGCTTTTAATAAGCCTCGTCCTTTCCCGCATTTCGTCTTTGCCCCACTTTACTCAGATACCCTTAAATATAATGGAGATGCACCAATCCACTTTTTTCACTTCCGATACCGATACGGATATCGGAGGTTTAGAATTGGCCAATACCAATCCGATACAGAAAAACTGCTGAATTTACTTAAAATGTTTCTTTTTTTAAAAACACAGACTTAGATGGACTGCATTACAAATTTACTTGACAACTCTGACCCAGTACAGCACACCTAAATGCACAAATAGCTCCACAAGCTTGATCAGCATGTAAAAACAACTTTTATAGTGCAATTAGGAGTATAACAGCCAATGAAAAATATTCTCCCACCCCACCCTCCCAATACTGGGACCAATACAGATATTAATATCGGATCAGCGCATCTCTAAAATGTAACATAGCCATTGCCTTCAGATGTCACCAAAAGGTTTTGGCACTATTGGTGAAAAACCAATGCTAATTTGGGAAATACAGGGCAAAAAACCTGAAGGAGTTAAGACTTTAGAGGACCTTTAATTTCTAGCTATAGCTATATTAATCAAAATGTATGCATCCAATGAAATAGCCCAGTCAAAGTCTAGAACTATATATAATTCTGTGGCAACAATTGAAATTTGTTATATACAAAAGCTCACCATCTACTCTGACAGAGCTACAGCTGTTTTGAATAGAAGAATAGGCACTGAACACACTGAAGGGGAATGTGTGTGTGTGTGAGAGAGAGAGAGAGAGAGATTCTTTTTTTATTTACCTGGTCCCGTCCTGTGCGCTGCAGTTGATGTCGGCGCCATAATCCAGCAGATGTTGAACGATGCTGAGCCAGCCTCGGGCGCACGCCTCGTGGAGTGCGCAGTAGCCCGCGTAGTCTCTGTGGTTGACCTCGCAGACTCTGTTCTCCAGGCAGTACAGCACCACCTCCTGAGAGAGACGACAACAAAACAAAACGGTGAGCCGCGCTTTTCGGCGCGAGAGGGTGTTTCTCTACGCGTGATGACAAAGAATACACACGAGCAGACACAGCCTTTCCCCTTTACGGTTCCTGTGGGAGAGGAATGACGAGAGAGGAAGAACTGAGTGTGCTCTTGCGCCGGACAAACATACGCAGAGGCGCACAAACGCTCCATAATACCGGAGCTGGCGCCAAACGCATCGAGGAGCCCGAGAGTGACTCAACTGCGTTCTGCCTGCCAGATTCTGCTCGCGCATGTACGCGTGTGTGTGCGTGCGCGCGCGCGCACGTGTTTGTGTGTGCAGCGTGATTGGGGCCCGGACGCCGCCGTGGCAGCCAGCTACAATGGCTGGGCTCCGAGCGCGGCATAATGGAAGCGGAACAAAGAGATTTGATGGAGGCGCTTAAGAGCTGGAAGCGTTTTCTCTGGTCTAAGGCTGTGACAGTTGGGCGTCCGGCGCTAAGTAGTCAGAATGGTCTTTATTGGACGGGAGCAGCGTCTGCCGCCATTAGGCAGAGAGGAAGCAGAGAGACAGGAAGCTGCTTGGCAGCGTGTGGATACAAGGTCTGCTTGGGTCAGACGGAGAATTTCTACACTGCTAACGTGCAGCATGCGGAGTAGCGCATTCTTAATGTGATTTCAATAAGCAGAAATGTCTCAGAAATGTTGTTTTCTTTGTTTTGGATTAGACATGTAAAGTCGTACATTTAAACTCCCAAATCAAAGCTGCAAAAAAAATAAAAAATAAAAAAATGTAAGCAGACTTGCACGAATTTTCTGTTTTCCATACAATCAAAGATCCTCTCCAATCATTGAACATGCCTACGTCAAACACCAGCGTTTTTTTGTGCACCGTGAAAGCACAACCATTGATTAGCTTAGGAGTTACAAATATGTTAAGATGTTTTTTTATGGGGTTTTTCCTGTGAGGCAGAGACGTGCAGCTGAGACTGGTGGTGGGGAAAACAGAACCTCCTGCTGCTGCAGTAACAGCCGAGCTGAGCTGCTTCCTGAACAACTCCCCGCCGACTAAAAGGACAGATCGTGGTTCCTGCGAATTTTCCACTGTGAAATGACAAGTTTCTCATAAGTTTTTACACCCCTCTCGTCAAAAACAAAAAAATCGTGATGAGACAACAAGCTGGATTCCTGTTCAGCGGTAGGGTGCAGGGTTATTCCACTGATCTTTGCAGGCATCTGGATCAGCTTAGCTCAGGTCAGTTTCAAAACCCATAACAAACTGTTGGGGTTAAATCTGGAGCGGATTATTCAACAATAAACACAGATTCTTTGAAGCACACTTTGTGATCTGTGACGCCTTTATATTGTTTGTAATAACTTAAAATAGGGGCTTAAGTACTCTGAACTACAGGTTTAGAGTAAAACTCTGATCCAAGAAGGTCTAGAGGCCAAAAGCAGATCAATTACCCTTTTTATTTTTTATTTTTTTAATGAGTGCAAATCTATACGTCTTCTGTCAGTATTTGTAACAACTGATAAAAAGAAAATAAAGCAAAGAACTTATCCAGACGTTAATCTTCACAACCAAAAGACTTGGAAAACGATGAGATACAATTTAAAACAGTTGGTAACATAATGTTCATCTGACGTCATCGTTTATAAAATAAAAGTGAGAACTTTTTTATTTAGAGCCGATGAGCAAAAAAACAGTGAATTTAGAGAGGAAAATATCTAGTTTTTCTGTGTTTTTCTTTTAACTCACCTTGGAAATTACATTTTTACATGAAAGTACTAAAAAAAAAGATGCGAAAAATCAACTATTTCTAAATGGCCTCCCCCCTCCCACACCTCCGTCGTGTTTCAGGATCCTAAAAAAAAAAAAAAAACGCTCCGTTATTAAATATTTATATATGCATGTGAATGCAAGGCTCGTTTATCCAGATGCATTCAAACTCCGTTCTGCAAGCGGTCCTGTTGCCGTGGGGAGCCAGAGCGGCTCATCTGAACCTGGGTATACGACACCAAGCCTCCATTTCTATGCTAATTCTGGCCAGCCATCTAAGTCCAAGTGTTTATCACGCTCCCTCCCCACCCTTTCAGCACTTGGAGGGTGGAAAAAAAAACCCGGCAGTGGAGAGAGAAAACAGGCCGATGGACGGGAGGGACGAGCAGAGGACGGAGGGGACGAGAGGCAGGACAACCCGGCAGATGACAGATGAATGAATCCGTGGAGGAAATCTGCTGGGGCCGTCCTTTGGGGCCACAGCTGATAATAACAAGAGATGAAAGGGTGGGGTGTGTGTGTGTGAGAGAGAGAGAGAAAGAGGAGTGAAACCAGGGCGGAGAGATGATGCCGAAGAAGAGGAGGCAAAAGCGGAAATCCGGAGTGGGAGAAAATAGTGAGCGAGTGAGAGTGAACGGGGAGAAACGAGGGGAGGGTGGGAAGACGCTCCAACTGGTTTTCTCTCGCTGCCAACACTCTGTTTGCCTGCTGGAGAGAGATTCAGGAGCGCTGTGCCGAAGCTCCCCTCTGGGGGATTCCACTCGCTCTATGCATGTGTTGTGTGTGTGCGTGTGTGTGCGTAAGAGTGAGAGCAAGTGTTAGAGAGACTGACAGCTAGGGAGTGTTGATATGCAGCGTGCCAAAGTGTGTGTGTGTGTGTGTGTGTGTGTGTGCTGCTGACGCGTGTGGCTGTGGAGGAGGCGCAGCGCTAAACCTCCGGAGCCGTGTTTAATATCGCTGGGAGAGAGCGAGGAGCTTAGCACGAAAGCCCCGGCTTCCCGCCAGACGCGAGCACACACACACACACAGACACACACACACTCCTCCGCAGTAAAACGAGACAACCTCCCCCCCACCGCCACCTCCCCTCCGCTGCGCTCCTTCCTCTATTCTCTTTTCTCGCGCTCCGTCCTCTAATCTCCCTCTCTAGAATGCTTCCCCGCGCTCCCCTGCAATCAATGCATCACTCAGACGTTTAACCCCTTCCGGCGCTGCCTGCGTTGGATGCGTGTCACATGTGTAGGTGATGCATGAGCGCATCTGCCAGACTGGAGTTTTCCGGCGAAAAGGAAAGTTGGTGCGTGCTCGGAAAAGTGAAACGTGTGGGCGGGGTGAGGATTCAGTGAGACTGAAGGCGCTGCCGCTGCCGCCGCCGCTGATGATGATCTCACAGTTAATTAATCTAACACTGAGCCACTCAGATTCTATTAACAAAGCTGAGAAGAAAAAAGGGGAGAAACGTGTGTGTGGATGGGGGGAGGGGGGAGGCACGTGGGGTGGTGGGGGGGAGAGAGAGAGAAAAGTCACCTCTGGCTGCCGTGATAAATGCCCTCCTTTTCAAGCAGTAATTTGCGCCACGTATTCCCCCTCATCCACATGCAAAACGAGTGATTCAAGGGGCCTAATATGAGTCACTGTCTGTTCTGGTGGCACGTCAGACAGCCACTGAGGCAAAAATAAAACAAAAAAACAAAAAAGAAGTTGGTGAAAGCTCGGGGTGACAGCTTGCTGACTGCTAAACCTGGTTGCTCGCCAACTTTCCAGCTCTCAGGTATAAGCCTGTTTGGACGTTTCCATGTCGACGCTCGGCAGCGACTTCGGGGGTAATGAAAACGAAGCAAACACCAAAGTGGAGAAGAAGAAGAAAAAAATCCATTTAAGTTCTTTGAATGGCCTCTTGAGCCCGGCTCTGAAAACAAATTAATCTGCTGCAGCCTCGTTGTTCAAAGGCCTTGCTTTAGTCCAAATAAAATCATTTGCAGACTAGATTTAAAAAAATAAAATAAAATAAAAAAAATAAATAAGTCGATTATTAGTACCAGAGTTGTACTAATATTAAACCCCAGCACGTAAAACTCAGCTGTGGGAATGGAAAAAAAAAAAGTGATGGCAGCAGAAGGCTTTTAAACAATCATTTTGTGGCTATATTGTTAAAAAAAAAAATCCCCATCAGGAAACATAATTTCCAAAGGGACTCATGTTGTTACAGTCTGTAAAAAAGTACAAAGTTGTAATGAATTATAATATCATATAGATCTGAGGAAAACACCAGTAAAAAAAAATGCTATCCTACGAACTAAATAGGCGGTGAAAGTGTGTAGAGGTCTTCCCTTATAGCCAATTCCATGAGTACAGCTCTGGTTTATTTGCAGCAGGACTTGCCTTTAATCTGTGCAGTTCAAACATTCACATTTCTGTGTGTACGTAAATAACTTCAAGAGCCAAAGACCAAGCTACACATGCAAACTACAAACGCAGAGGAAAAGGAAACTAGCTAAGTATTGATTTAAAATGGAAAATGATCTTTATGGCTGTTGTCCAACTATAAATAGTCCCAAAATTTAGCAGTGGTTTTGAAGTGCTTATTGCGCCAAATATTGTCCCTTTTGTTGTTATGCTAACCATAGAGTAACACTTGGAGCATAGAAAGCTGACAGCTTGTCATGGCTGCTTAAATTAGTTGGGCTATCTGCTCAGGGGTCCAGGCTGCTGAACACAAGCTGCTCGTATCGGAAATGGTAATGAGAGGTGCCTTTTAGCTTCCACGCACGACTGTATTTTTCACGACCCAAACGCATTCATTTCTATCTAAGCAGCCGGTTTTTCTGCCAGCTGGTCAGCAGTGTGCAGCAACAAGTGGGTGAGGGTCAAAACTATCTGAGGAAACTCATCTATATATACTGGAAATGAGAGGACTGAGTCATATGAATAATATGTTGTTTTTCCCTTTTCCTTTGCAGTTTTTCAGCAGTAGACTTTCACAAAACATAAATTTAGACTGCTTTTCATCAGCTCTTGTGTCAGGACCAAGATAGAGTGGGGGGGCATGAGGGGGGGGGGGTTCAAGTCAGCCCTCTTCTGAGCCGCTGAGCAAGTTAGTCACGGTCCCACAACAGTCGACACAGAGGGGGGATGGGTGTAGGCTGAGTAGGCTTCCCGGGCTCAATGCTGCGATGTAGCCATGACAAGCTGTCAGTGAAAGCAGCTGGCAAGGGGGGATTTAGGGCGAAAACAAACTAGGATGACCATGGGTTCTGTCGCGCACACACCATTTCTTGCCATTAACACAAACTAGAAGCTCCGAATTACTGCAAAACAAGACAGATAGCTGGATTTCAGCAGAGGGTAGTTCCTTCCGTAGAAAACAGAAAACTAATGTGACCGCTGACGTGCTTACGATTTCAAATGAACGACGTTTTACAATTATTTTCTGTTTAGACTATGCAGAGTTTCTCTCTGTGCCTTCTTTGATTTCTGAGAAGTTGGTTTTATCTTTTTTTTTTTTTTTTTTTTTTGGAACAAATGGGGAAGTTGCATTATTCCTTTTTTTTTTAGAGA